TCGTCGGCGCAGTCGCCCCGGGCCGCGTCGCCCCGGCCGCGCTCTGGCGCATGGCCGGACGCGCAGCGCATGGCCTGCTCGCACCACCCATCATCGGCAAGTTAACAGACGAGTAGTGGCCTGGAGAAGATCGCCTTGCACTTGCCCATGCTCCAATTTTGATAGCTGGGTCCGGGCTGCGTCCACGTCGAAGAGCTGGGGCCTTTGCGTGGGGAAATAAATATCCACGACCACCCTGACTTACAGCGCCCACGTACGCATATATTCGGCAGAGCCCGTGCACGGCCCTGGATGATACCCTGACATCGAAATTCCATCGTCGGCAAGACAGGCCCGAACAAGCCACGCGCGCGGGGCCGCGCAAACCTGAAGCTTCCGCCCTGGAGCACGCCCAGGCAATCCGCGGCTGGCTGATATCAGCCAGCAACGCGGCTCTCGCCGCGGGCACTGACAAGGCGACTCAGCGCCAGAGGGTTTTCGTCTCTAGACCTACGCCAATATTCGGTGCACTGGTGGGTGTATGCGTCGCTTTCTTGAAACATGTTTTAATGTTTCGCTCGGGTGTGTAAATTTCTGGGTGGGCGTGCACTTCGTTTCGGCGGGTGTGCATCATGTTTGTTTGGCGCCCGCTGCCCCGCGGAAGATCGAAGCGCCTCTGGAAAAACCGCGGATTCGCGAGGGCCGGCCCCGCCCGTGCAGACGAGCACGAGCATCATCAATGCCGGCGGCAACCTGCATGGCCGCGCGCAGTCGGCGGGCTCGCTGGGCCCCCGCGAAGGCGGCCTCCGCGAAGCGTCAGCCACTCGTCCAAGACGCCCCCTGCGACCCCCCGAAGTCGGCATAGTTGGGCCCGAGGCAGTTTTCGCGTCGCGAGTAATGAGAATTCATTGGCATCTGTATTGCGGGGTGGGCGTCGAAATCTTGCCCCCGATTTGCCAGACTCACCCTTGCCTCTTTGGCGGATGTGCGCGCGGCCGTGCTGGAGGATCAAGACGTCTTTGATCTTGCCGAAGGTTGTTACTTTTCCCGTGGATGTCAACGCCATCAGATTCTCCGCGGGCGAGAGGCCTGCATGGTCCAAGAGAAGGGGGCCAAGCACATCGTCGCCCATCAAGATCTCGGGACCTACCTTGGACACAAGTTTCCACCAACGCTGCCTTCGGAAGATGTACGAGACCATAGACTCACCGTGCTGCCGAGACAGTGGTACAGATGGTATCTGCCCCTCCTGGAACAGCATCTTCGCTTCCTGCGCCAATGCGAATCGCCAGCACCAACTGATCGATCCCATTCGGAATCAGAAGCACGTCCTCGCCGATAGCCATGGCAATATCGAATGCGTCACCTCTGAAGCCTTCTACAGCCTGGTTGACAGCTGCGGTGATCGCGCGTTGCTGTGGCGCGCCCGTCTCTTGATCCATTGAGGCCAAGGCGGCGCGCATGCGCGTCGCTGTGCGGAATTCCCACTCGTGAAAGTTGTTCACCGTGCCGTCGTAGATGTAGGAGCCACTCTTCGCATCGGACCGCGTCAGCGCGTCGGCGCTCGGCCGATAGCGAAGAGAAGAAGGTGCCATGGCGCCAGGCTCCGCCCCCTAGCGAGGGAAGCTGCCAGCGCGGAAAGTGAGTGGGGCGACGCTCTCTTGCGAGACGTGCGCGCAATGGAAAAATGCGGGGATCTCGTGGTAGCTCCGACACCAGTGTGATCATTCTGCGTTTTAGCGCAATGGCACAAAGGGGGCCCTAGAGGTCAAACGGCAGCAAGTGGTGCATATACACACGTGACACATGCACTATCTCACACCTGTCATCATCGCCACAATCAGTATCACATGCATCATCATTGTCATCGTCGGCGTCACCGATGCCGTCATCACCTTCATCATCCTCATCGTCACTGCCGCCGCCCTCGTCATCAACGCCACCACCATCGTCGTCGCTGTCGCCGAGGTCGCCGTCTCAACCATCACCAGCCTGCCTGAACCGTGGATCCGCATGAGAAAGACTCTCGCGCCAATGCGCCAATTTGGTGTTGCCAACGCGTTGCGGGTAGGTGGATGAGATGGTTACTCGGCCATGGTTTCGGCGGAATCGCTATTTTCATAATCAAGTGCACCTCGCCTTGTACGCCTCAAGGATCCCATGGGTTGCGCATCGTATAATGAACTCCGAATATCCTGCCTGCAGCAGATCATGCAACTCGACCCCCATGCAGAAACTGGTCTAGACGGCCCTGTTCCGCGAATTGGCACTGGAATTGTTCATTCTGCGTGGTCATGCAGTTAACACTAAAGTGATATCATACAAGCCAGCCCCCTGGTTGACTCCCCTTTTCCACATCATAAAATGCGGAGCATTCGTATTGATCGCGCTTACGCACTGCGTCCCCAAATCTCGAAATATCATGCGGCCACTCCCGCGCGCCCATGCCAACACGCTTACAGCAACAACGGTCCCGATACACTAAATTAAAAAAAAAACGGCCATGCAAAACAAACCTGTTTCCAATAAAGACCTGTCGGGTTTCTTGTGCGCGCACTCCCTGAAATTATCTGTTAATCCAATTTCTACCATGTCAAATTATGAAAGGTAGACGTGTTCAAGAGCGTATGGGGGCAGCACGGTTTGCAGGGAACAGCTGGCGTAATTTCTGTGAGCGTTCCTCCTCACCACCCTCTGCATCACAGTCGTCGTCATCTTCGCCAACGTCATCATTGCCATCGCCATCGTCATCACCATCAACATCATCATCATCAATACCAGCGTCGTCGCCGTCGTCGTCAGCACCAACAGCGTCCTCATGATCGTCGTGATCGTTGCCCGCGTCATCATCGCCACCACCATCGCCATCACCAGCGTCGTCGTCGCCGGTGTCGTCCTAACCATCATCACCCGCACGCACGAATCATGGAACTGAATGAGCAGCGTCCAGGCATCTGGTATGTGCGAACACTTCACTGTCCTTTTTAACTTTGCCAACGGCTTGCGAGTGGGTGGGTGATGTTTGCACGAGCATGGGAGGTGGTCACACAAGGATGCCCAAAGTTCTTTGCACCGTGCTGATACCCTGCCTCTCCCATATTGCACAGGGTCATTATTTGGGAAGCACGCGATGACATCATCTAGCCAGCTGCGACACAATCACTGAGGCAGTACCAGTATGGGCCCTCCAGCGAAGGAGCACGAGCGCGTGCGATTGTTCCCCAAAGAGTGGTTGCACCTGTGGGGTTTACTTGATTTCTAAAGACATGGAACAACACTCCCACATGTTTCTGCAGGCGCTGTGCCTTGGGCGCCTCGCTGGCGCTCCATGCGCTGGCTGGGATTTCTGGGTTTTCGACTCGTGGGCGCCCCGAGCGCTGGCTGGGATTTCCAGACGTTCAGCTTGTGCCCGGCCGCGTGCGAGTCGTAGGCGCCCACGTGCGCCAGCTGGGATTTCCACATTTTGGCTGGTGAACAACCGTGGGCGCTTCGTGGGCTTCCCGTGCGCTGGCTTGCGCCAAATAGCTTGCACAACTCAGCTTGCACAACAGAAACCGCACCATGCAGCTTTCACCACATATCTTGCACCACAATACTGGCACAACTAAGATTGCACCACACATTGTGCACTATATAGCCTACACGACATAGATTGCACCGCGTAGCTTGCGTCATACAACTTACACCACATAGCTACCGCCCCAAAGCTTGCACCACCTACATGGATGCATACAGTTTGCACTACATAGCTTGCACCACACAGCTTGCACAACCTAGCCAGGATGCACCACATACATTTCTCCTCATAGGATGCAACACATCGAATTCAGCACACGGCTTGCGCCAGGTAGATTGCACTACGCAGCGTGCACCACAAAGCTACAACACCCACCACACAGGTACACCACTTCACAGAACCCTGTGCCCCCGATCATCACAGGGTGGGGATAATCCGCCAGCCTCCGCTTGTAAGGGGTGTGAAGGCGTGTGATATGTAGCGCACGGATGCGCAATGCACGGATGTACGGATGCACGCGGAATTTCGAAGGAGAATAAGGTAGGTTCGGACGTTTCAAATTCGGTGTGCGAGAACTATTACTTCAGGGAGGTACTTCAGTCATCATGTGGGGCAATTCATCTCTGGGATCGCGGCGATAGTAAAGCCCGTAGCTTAGGCTAACTTGCGTCAAATAGCTTGCGTCACAAAGCTTGAACCACGTATCGCCTACTATCAAGTTTGCACCGCACAGCTTGCTCCATTGAACCACATCGATTAGACCACATAGCTTAAACAACCTAGCTAGCACCACAAAACTTGCATTACACATTACACCGCATAGCGTTCACGGCATAGCGTAAGCTGCTACCGGTGTCCACGCGGGCAAACATTTATGTATAATGATCTGTTTGGTATACGCTTCCATATGTGTAGTGTAGTGTGCTAAGGGCTGCCAAGGGCCCCAGCTTCATCGACGGGGATCAACGAGACAGACCGACTTCGGGCTAGCCTACGTTCCATGGATCGTCCCCCAAAGTGAGAAGAACTCCCGCCTCTCAGAAACCCATCCGCCGATGTTGAATGCCGCTGCGTTCCGACACCGCCACTGCCTTGAACCAGTGAGAGTGCGTTCGGACTCGGATGTCTGAGCAAATGCAGCTGTGGCGGCGAGGCACCCCTGAACGCCCAGAAAGGCAAACTGGACCAAACAGCGTCGGCATCGGCATGTATTATCTTCTTTGCCGCTCCGCCAGCTGCTCTCGCCACGACCGCCTGCCTCGGGACTCGCCGTGCCTCCGGGGGCCCGGTGGAGGTGAACCACCGGCTGGCGCGCCACGCGGGGCCACCTCCACTGACCATCGATGAGGCCGAAACGGGGAGTCTTCTGCTTCAGCGGCTCTCGGCGAATTCCGGCGGTCTGCGGATCGATCCGCGGCGGCTGGAAGATGAGGCATCCCGACGAACAGTTCGAAGAGCAAGGGCGGCAAGAGGGTAAGTCCCCCTCCATTGCGGGCCCGCTCTCCTCGGACAGGTGGTCGCTCAGGTGCTGGTGCGTCACGCCCTGCGCGGGCCACAGCGGCGGAGGCGGCCGCAGCATCAACAGCACCCGCGGGGAAGGGGGATAGCAGAACTGGGCGAAGCAGGGGCAAAAATATGAACAGCAAGGGTCAGGAGGGCGTAAGCCGAGACCCCGCTTATGACAACGTCGTATACGTACAAGGGTATCCCATTGCTTACCCCGTGCTGCAGAATAGGTAGGAAAATAAAGGGATCGGGCGAGAGATAGGAGTATGCACCATCGAAGGTGGCCGTCTTCTTTTGCGTTACTCAGGTGCGATGGTACGCCACGAATGGCGTAGTCACATAGAGAGGCGCCGCTTGAGCCAAGCGGCGTCGGACGTAGGCACGGCGCTCGCGATGCTCACCGTTGCCTCTTGACCTTCGTTCAAAGTCAGGAGGGGGAGAACCGAGCTCCGAACCACGCCAAAATAAACATTGACTAATATACGAGCAACGCACTAGTAGAGAAATGAGGAGAGCGATCCTTTTTTTCGGACAGCCTTCGCAAACAGAGCAAATATAACAATGCGCATAGGCTGACCGCGGGAGACCTCCGCACACGGTCAGCAAAGGCATGGCGGCCAACCACGGGAAACCTCCGCGCGCGGCTAGCATAGACACATGTATCAGAAATTGGGGGGTGAGATCGCAAAGAAACGGAAACCCCCAACCGGGAAATTGTTTCGCTTCGTTCGTGTCGTGCGTGCGGGCGAGGCGAAGCTGCGTGGGCGCGCGAAAGGGATGAACCCGCCGCTGCTACGGCGAAGTCAACACAAATGATTATCCCCCGCCCGCCCATCCTGCGGTGGCCACCGGTGTCCCGCGGTTTCCCGTGGTGTCCCGTGATGTCCGCCGTTGCCAGGGCGAAGTCAGGACAACTGATTCTCCCCCGCCCGCCCGTCCGGCGGTGGCCACTGGTGTCCCGCGGTGTCCAGTGGTGTGCCGTGGTGTCCCGTTGAAAGAAGTCGATAATGAGCTCGATAATGATATCGATCGTGCGATCGATCTGGTGCCCCGAAGTGTCCCGTGGTGTCCCGTACAGTGAGATCGATAGTGAAATCGTTAGTGAGATCGACAGGTGTCCCGTGGTGTCCCGTTGAGTGCGATCGATAGTGAGATCGATAGTGAGATTGATAGTGCGATCGATGTGGTGCCCCGAAATGTCCCGTGGTGCCCCAACAAGTGAGATCGATAATGCAATCGATTGGTGTCCCGTGGTGTTCCCTGATGTCCAGTTGACCGAGATCGATAGTGAGATCGATAGTGAAATCGATGAGGTGTCCAGAAGTGTCCCGTGGTGTCCTATGGTGTCCCGTTGGATGGGGTCGATAGTGACATCGATAGCGAGACCAAGAATGAGATCGAGAGGTGTCCCGCGGTGTCCCGTGGTGTGCCGTTGAGTGAGATCGATAGTGAGAACGATAATGAGATCGACAAGTGTCCCGCGGTGTCCCGTGGCGCTCCGTTGAGTGAGATCGAAAGTGAGATCGGTTGACTCAGACGTTGCCTCCCCCTCCCCCCCCCGCAACCTCCTTATCACTCGAAGAGCGGTCGTAGGCGTGTATGTATATATATATATAGATATAGATATAGATATAGATATACGACCGCCCTGCGGGCGATAAGAAGGTTGGGGGTCGGGATTGACATCAAATGCCCACCCTGACTGACCTCCGGCCTGTCATCTTGATCTCAACTCTCTGTTTCTCTCTGTCTCTCTCTCTCTCGCCCTCTCTCTCTTTCTCTTTTTCTCTTTTTTTGTTTTCTCTCTCTCTCTCTCTCTGTCTCCCTCTCTATCGGAGTCTCCCTCCATCACAATGAAGATCGCGATGACGACGGGATCCCACTATCTACCTATCCGTCGACCGACCTATTGGTGAATCTCACTGTCGATCTCACTATCGATGATCGACCTCAAAAGCAAAATGAGAAAGCCCGCCGCAGGCGGCGAAACATTACGCTACCGAGTAACCCCACAAACTTATATTATGGCTGGAGTGATGATAGCTGAAAAGAAGCATGTGAGAATGATGTTGGTGGCCGTTCCCTGCGCGCCCCCTCTGATGTCGAGAAAATGACACGCCTGCTGCGCCGTGCGAGCCTGCAACGGATAGAGACCGCACCCCACGCGCACCCCCCTCTGTTATCGAGACTTTGCCATGCCTGCCGCGCCCTGCACGCCTGAAATGCATACAGACCGCACCCCCTGTGCACCCCCTCTGGTGTCGAGAATTCCCACGCCTGCCATGCCCTGCGCACCTGCAACGCATAGAGACCGCACCCCCTGCGCACCCTCCTGGTGTCGAGAAAATGCCGTGCCTGCCGTGCCATGCGCGCCTGCAACGCATAGAGACCGCACCCCCTGTTCACCCCCTCTGGCGTCGAGAATTCCCACGCCTGCCGCGCCCTGCGCGCCTGCAACGCATAGAAACCGCACCCCCTGCGCACCCTCCTGGTGTCGA